ATAGCTTTCCATTTTTTTGTATCCTCTTCAATTTCTTTTATCAATGTTTTATAGTTTTCATTATAGCGATCTTTCACTTGTTTGGGTAAGTTTATTCATATATATTTTATTTTATTTATTTATTTTATTCTATTATAAATGGGAATATTTTATTGATTTCTGTTTTGGATTGTTTACTGTTGGCATATAGAAATGCTACTGATTTTTGTCTACTTTTTTTCCATCCTGCAAATTTACTGAATTTGTTTATCTGTTCTAATAGTTTTTGAGTGGAATCTTTAGGTTTCTCTAGATATAAGATCCTATTATCTGCAAACAAGGATAATTGACTTCTTCCTTTCCAGTTTGGATGCCCTTTATTTCTTTCTCTTGTCTAATTGCTCTAGCTAGAACTGCCAGAATTATGCTGAATAACAGTGGTGAAAGTGGGCATCCTTGTCTTGTCCCAGATCTTATAGGAAAAGCTTTCAGTTTTCCCCATTTGATATTATAATAGCTGTGAGTCTGTCGTATATGGCTTTTATCTTGTCGAAATAAATTTTTTCTATACCTAGATTTTTGAGAGTTTTTATCATGAAGGAATGTTGAATTTTATTAAATGATTTTTCAACATCAATTGAAATGATCATATGGTTTTTGTCCTTCATTCTGGTGATATGATGTATCATATTGATTGATTTGCATATGTCGATTTGCATCCTTGGAATGATTCCCACTTGATCATGATGAATTATCTTTTTAATGTGTTGCTGAATTCAGTTTGCTAGTGCTTTGTTTAGAATTTTTGCTTCTATGTTCATCGGAGATATTGACCTATAGTTTTCTTTTTTTGTTGTGTCTTTGTCTGGTTTTGGTATCAGGGTGATACAGGCCTTGTAGAATGAGCTTAGAAATATCCCTTCCTCCTTGATTTTTTGGAACATTTTAAGTGAGATTGTTATAAATTCTTCTTTGAATGCTTGGTAGAATTCAGTAGTGAAGTCATCAGGTCCTGGGATTTTATTTGATGAGAGACTTTTTATGACTGCTTCTATTTCATTACTTGTCATTGGTTTATTCAAGTTTTGGATTTCTTCATGGTTTGATCTTCGTAGGCTGTATGTGTTTAGGAATTTATCCATTTCTTCTAGGTTTTACAATTTATTGGCATATAGTTCCTCGTAATAGTCTCTGGTGATCTTTTGGATTTCTGCACTGTAAGTTTTAATGCCTCATTTTTATCTCTGATTTTATTTATTTTGGTCTTCTCTGTTTTGTTTTTTTGATCTGGCTAAATGTGTGTCTATTTTGTTTATCTTTTCAAAAAAACTTTTTGTTTCATTGATTTTTTTTTTTTTTTGGTTTCAATTTTCTTTAACTGTGCTCTAATCTTTATTATTTCTTTTCTTCTCCTAATTTTCGGTTTTGTTTGCTCTTCTTTTTCTAGTTCTTTGAGATGCATTATTACATTATTTGAAGCTTTTCTACTTATTTGATGTAGGCACTTATTGTTATAAATGTTCCTCTTATTATTTCTTTTGCTATATCAGGTTTTGATATGTTGTATTTGCATTTTTACTTGTTTCAAGAAATTTGTAATTTCCTTTTTTTTGAGACAAAGTCTCACTCTGTTGCTTGAGCTAGAATGCTGTGGCATCAGCCTATCTCATAGCAACCTCAAACTCCTGGGCTCAAGCAATCCTACTGCCTCAGCTCCCCGAGTTGCTGGGACTACAGGAATGTGTCACCAAGCTCAGCTAATTTTTTTTTAAATATATATACACTTTTAGTTGTCCAGCTAATTTCTTTCTATTTTTTTTAGTAGAGATGAGGTCTTGCTCTTGCTCAGGTTGGTCTCGAACTCCTGGTCTCAAACGATCCTCCTGCCTCAGCCTCCCAGAGTGCTAGAATTACAGGTGTGAGCCACTGTGCCTGACCCATAATTTCCTTCTTAATCTCTTCATTGGCCCACTGGCCAGTCAGAAGCATATTGTTTAATTTCCATGTGTTTGTATGTTTTCCAATGTTCTTCTTGTTATTGATTTCTATTTTTATTTCATTATGGTCAGAGAAAATATTTGGTATGATTTCAATTTTTTTGAATGTTTTGAGACTTGTTTGTGGTGTAATATATGTTAGGTCTTTGAGAATGATCCATGAGCTGAGGAGAAGAATGTGCATTCTGTAGCTGTGGGATAAAACATTCTGAAAATATTTATTAGGTCCATTTAGTCTGTAGTGCAGATTAAGTTCCAATGTTTCATTGTTGCTTTTCTGTCTGGATGATCTGTCCAATGCTGAAAGTGGAGGGTTGAGGTCTCCAATGATTATTGTATTGAAGTTCTATGTCTCTCTTTAGCTCTGATAATATTTGCTCTATATATCTGAGTGCTCTAGTGTTGAGTGCTGAAATATTTAGAACTGCTATATCCTCTTGCTGAATTGGACCCCTTTATCATTATATGATCACCTTCTTTGTCTCTTTTTACAGTCTTTGTCTTGAAATCTATTTTATCTGATAGAAGTATAGCTACTTCTGCTCTTTTTTGGTTTCTATTTTCATGGAATATCTTTTCCATCCCTTTTTTTCAGTCTGTGTGTGCCTTTATAGGTGAAATGTGGTTCTTGTAGACAATATATAGTTGGCTCTTTTTTTTTTTTAAAGTCCATTCAGCCACTCTATGTCTTTTGATTGTAGAGTTTAGTCCATTAACATTCAGTGTTATTATTGATAGGTAAGGACTTACTACTTCTATTTTCTTATTTCTGATTATTTACTGGTTCTCTCTTTCTTACTTTCTTCCTGTATTCCTTTCTTAAAAGTAATTTTCTCTGGTAGTGTGTTTTAATTTCTTGTTTTTCATTTTTTTGTGTGTGTGTATCTGTTGTAGGTTTTCTGATTTGGGGTTACTATAAGGTTTGCAAAAATATTTTATAACCAATTATTTTAAACTTATGACAATTCTGTTTACAAACAAACAAGCAAAGAGAACTCTAACAGAAATCTATCATTTAACTCCATGGCCTCTGCTTTATAACTTTTTATTGTTTCCATCCATATCTTTTTATACTATCTCTCAAAAGTTGTTGTTGTTATTTTTGATAGGTTTTTCTTTTAGTGTTCCTGTTAAGATATAAGTGGTTTACACTGTAACTACAGCAATGGAGTATTCTACATTTGTGTACTTACTGTTACAAGTGAGTTGTATACCTTCAGAAAATTTCTTATTGTTCATTAGCATCCTTTCTTTCAGTTTGTAGACCTTTTAGCATTTCTTGTAAGATAGGCCTGGTGTTGATGAAATCCCTTAGCTTCTGTTTATCTGGGAAAGTCTTTATTTCATCTTCATGTTTGAATGATACTTTACAGGATATAATATTCTAGGGTTAAAGGTTTTTTTCTTTAGCACTTTGGAATATGTCATGCCACTCTCTCATGGCCTGTAAAGTTTCCACTGAGAAGTCTGATGCCAGATGTATTGGAGTTCCTTCATATTTTCTTTTTTTTCTTTTTGCTTGCTTTCTTGGGACTTTTGCTTTATCTGTGACCTTTAGGAGCTGGAATATTAAATGCCTTAAGGCAGCATTGTTTGAGTTAAATCTGTTTGGTGTTCCATGACCTTCTTGCATCTGAATATTGATATCTATTCTAAGTCCATCACTTTATAGACACTGAGAAGTAATTTGCTCCTCTGTGACAGAACTGGGATACAAATGGGACCCTGGTTTTCCACTACAGAACTCTTACCATTTCAGGTATCTTTACTGACAAGGTTAGGGAGCTGAATCAAATGCTCTATTTGAACATATGGGCCAATGGTTGTGACATTCAGTGTCCTGATGTACTACAGGGGATAAAGAAGACAGAGACTCCCTTAACCACTGGTGCTAGTGCCTATTCTCTGGTGTAGAAAAGACACTTCAAGGGGGAGAAGAATAAGATTGAGAGTCACATTAAGGACATGAATGAGGCTTCTTAGAAAGCAAATAAAAAGATAAAGCTATTGGGAGGTATGTGTGGGCAGAGTTTCATGCCAGTGTTAACTACAAGTGTTAACTCCTGGGGCATTTCTCTTTTGAAGACGCCCCCACTCATGTATCCCTCTTACTTTCTCCACAGGCCTCAAGGATTGGTCTTCAGCTTCTATTCCATTGTAATGACCTGCTGTGTACAAGATGGGTTTCAAAACACTTCCAGGGCATTAATGAACTAAATATAGCCTCACATAGGGTTTCCTTATTCTTATATCCACCAAGTAAGTAGTGTGGCCCTTTAGGCCCTTTCTAAAACATATTTATGTAAGTGAGAAAGGGAAACTGAGGGACAAACTAACTCATTTTGGATACTTCCCCTACCAGTAAAGTTAGCATATCTATAGGAAATGGTGAGTTTGATGACTTGAAATAAGATTACATTTCAGAACAAAACCTGGATTTGGGCTATCTTTCAAATTTCATCCTAAGAACTGATGTGAAATTCTGGGAGGGTAATTGTCCTGAAGGGAAAGGAAGGAGATGACTGGGACTTGAGGATGTCACAGGCAACGGTGTCCCTAAGGTCGAGGATCTGGCGCAGTGGGGGGAGGAACACAGATTCACAGTTTCCCTCTCTTCTATTCTTTCTTCTAATCACTACGATCCTACCAAACAGACCTCTCACTAGATGGACATTTAGAATGAGATGAAAAGTGAACCCTGGGTAAGAGCAGAAGCCACGATGGAACATATGTAAGAAGAAGAAAAAAAGAGAAAGAAGACTAGAAAAAATGCAAGCCACAAACATCAAGGAAGAAAAGGCTGATAAGGATAAGCGCAGGTACAAAATATGTCAAGACAAAGAACCACCTGTAATGAAACTAAAACACAAGGCCTCTACTGAGTCATGTAAAAAAGCAACCCTACTTCTTCATTTTGCTTGACTGTGGCTAGTTCTGCTAAGGACTGTCAAATCTTGATAGCATTAGATGGTATATTTCAGTGGCAAAATGGAAACAGTACATAAGAAAAAAGATTGGGCTTACATTTTGTCCATTAGGACCAGCCAGACCTGGATCTCCTTTTTCTCCTTGTTCACCCTAGAAAGAAACAATTTATACAATGAAAAATGTCATATCTGAAAAAAACCTTCACTAGGAAAAAATAAAAGAGTTACATTTCTTAGGTATCTATAACAATGTGATTATTTTGTTAATCCCTTGAAAGAAACATTTAATAAAAAATAATTGAGTCCTAAAAGCAAAGAGAAATGCATAAAAATGATTAAATGGTAGAAATATAATAAGAATTACTTATTTTCTTCTGTAAGCAACAAAAAACTTGCTGGAGGGCAATTTGGGAATTATATATCAAGTATCTTAAATCTGTTCACTTGGGCCAGTGATTTTGCTTCTAAGAAAGTAACCTAGTGAAATAATCAGAGATGAAATGTTTTAGGCACTAATATGTATAGTACAATATTTATAGTAGTAAAAAAAGAAACATCCTAAATATCCAATAATCAGAAACTAATTAAGAGTATATAGATAATGAATGGACTATGATGCAGCCATTAAAATCATGTTTATGAATTTTATTTTATACAAGGAAAAAATGCTTATAAAAGTAAGATGCAATTAATGAATTGACAAATTCAGTGCAATAATGTTAACTAATGTCTATTTTTATTACTTTAAAAGTACAAATGTTCAAAATGGCACCCAATACCCTTGTGAATTACACATACCCATAATGACACACATTTTTGTTTGAATACCATCTGAAAGCTGTATAATTTTATTGGCATTCTCTGCATATACATAGTATAACTCAATTTTTTAAAATGCTTGTTTATGTACCCATATCTACCTACCTGCATACCCATCTACCTATGAGACTTAAAAACAGTTCTGGGAGAATACAAACCAAAACAAGAAAAGCAGTTAAGCTATGCATTCTGTGATTATGGATGAATTTTTTCTTCACTTTGCTCTTCAATATTTTTAATTTTTTTTCCACCAAGAACATGTATTATCTGTACAATCAGCAAAGTGCTTAAAAATAAAAAAAAATATTTATAGAAAGAATTCAACAAAGTCTATCACTGTGTGTATGTGTGTGTGTGTGTGTGTGTGTGTGTGTGTGTGTATGTGTGTATGTGTGCAGTTAGTAGTAATAATCTTTGTTTTATGCCACTTGGGTGATTTTTATTCTCTTCTTTATATTTTTTTCTGTTTTTCTTCCATTTTTTATAATGGACATTGTTTTTTGACATGATGCATATGTTCATTGTGTTGATGTTGGTGATAGCTTCATAAGTCTATACGTATGTCAAATCTTATGAAATTGTTCACTTTAGGTAGAAGCCATGGATTTTGTCAATTATACATTAATAAAACAATTAAAAAACTCAAATTTAACAAATATCTTCCCCAATAATGTAGAGTTTTCTGGTGTGGCCTCAAATACAGAATGTTCTTACTGGGTTTAAACTATTTTTTTTTTAAACATAGATAACCACTTTTTACACCAATGTACTATACTGCATATTTTCAACAAAGCATCATTCCAACTTATTTTGCGTAGACAAAATAACTGTGCTAGAAAGGAATTCTGTAAAATTAGCTGAATATTATTATTTTTATTTGCAAAAAATTTAAAGTCAAGCAAGTACCCGATATTAGTAAGTAGTACATTAACACTCTACAAACAGAAATACATGTGCACACTTAACAATCATCTAAGGATATGTATTATTATTACATGGAAAATACATAAAATTAAGTAAAAATAACTTTATCACTGGGACATAAGAAATACATATATAATATACAAGACAAAACTGCATACAAACACAGTCAGTAAATAGGTACAAGTTATTAATAGAATGAAGCTGAGTGTTTTAAACTGAAAATAGAAAGGTGAGGATTTTCTCTAGAGTTGTCCAATATAGGATCCACTACCCACATATAGCTGCTTAAATTTAAATTAATTAAAATTAAATAAAATTTAAAATTCACCTCCTCAGATGCCCTAGACACATTTCAAATGCTCAACAGTGACTACCAAATTGGACTATGCAGATTAGAACATTCCACCATCATAGTAAATTCCACTGGACATAGCTGATGTAGATGTCAAACATGACAGAAAACAATATAAAAATTTAAAGGCTCAGCAATACACTGAAGAAAATACCTTCCTAGTAAGAAGATCATAAACAATACAGTGTTTAGATGTTGACATAAAGTGTGTTCAGCTCAAGTTAATAGAATGAATAGAAATTTTTGACACAAGAAAACATATAATTCCATGGATATCAACATTAACTTTTAGAATGTAGCTAAAAAATGGATATAATCTTTATTCAAGAATAATAGTTCTCATAGATGAAAAAAATAAGCAGCTCTCTATATTAAAGAAATGTATGCCTATGAGGAAATCTGCAAGCTTGACAGTGGTAATAAAAGTTAAATGAAAAAGTACTGAGAACAGAGCTGCTATTTTGTTGGAGTTTATGCTGCATGGCGAAAAAATAGGAAGTATGGTAGAAAACTAAAGAAGAAGCATAGTGCTTCAAATCGATCCCTAGCAACAATCTGCAATAGATTTTTAAAAGTTTTTAAAAGATTTTAATTTCAACATAAGAAGAAAATGGATGTCACTATGATCAAATAGGGTTCATAAGAAAGCTATTTATCATATTACCATTTTTACCAAATACTTCTCTAATATTTACTATGTGCCAGGCACTATTTTAAGCATCTTGAAATTCTATGAGGACCTAGGATAAAGATATGATTAGTACCCCTACTTTACAGATGATGAACCTAAAGACAGAGAGGTTTAGTAACTTGCCCCAGGTCACACATCAGGCAGTATGGTGCAGAGTCTGTGCTCTAAAGCTATTAAGCTCATTTGTTTTTAAAACAGACCAGGGGTAACTGAAAATATAGTGTATCTAGATTTCTGCAAAGTAAGAATCAGTCTCTCAAAAAAATGCCCTTCTGGATAGGAAGTGGAAATGTAGTCTGAGTAGTATTACTATTGGTGAGTATGCAACTGGTAGGTAGATTGATATCCAATGACTACCTATCTGTCTGTCTGTCTATCTATCTATCTATCTATCTATCTATCTATCTATCTATCTATTCATCCATCCATCTCTCTGTAATTTATGAAGGTCTCTTAATCTTGGCATTATTGATAATTCTTTGTTGTGGAAGATGTGCTGTACATGTTTAGTATCATCCTTGGTCTCTATACACTAGAGGCCAGTAGCCAGCCTCTCCCCGAGTCCTAGCAAATAAAAATGTCTGCAGACATTTCCAAATGTCCCTAAAAGGCAAAATTGTCTCTGGCTGAGAACCACTGAACTACATCATGAATATACATGTAACAGATTCAGGATCTGAAATACGATAGGCCAAAACAAGATGCTGTAATAACTTGAAACTTATTGGGAATAAATTTATTAGGAATAAATGTTCAGTCTTTCATTTAAGTTAATTCTGGTTGAATTAGAGAGTGACTTAAAAATAAGATTATTAAGAGACCAGAAAAAAATATGAGTGAACATAACTCAGAGTTCATTGTGGGTAAGGCATATTTAAGCATATAACCAAAAAAGAAAAAAAAAGAAAGAAAAAATAATTATATATTTGACAAAATATTAATTATAAAGCTATAAGGCAAAAATACTATAAAAGGCAAATGACAAATTGGGGAAAATATCATTTGGTGGCTTAATAGTTAACATCATTAAATAAAAAGATACTGCATTTTATATAGTACTATAATAATAAGAAAATAATAATATTCTAACTGGTAATTGAGCAAAGAACATATCAGGCAATTTACCACAAGAAATAAAAAAGAAATACAATATGACAATTAATAATATTTTAACTGGTATTAGTTAATCAGGGTATATATTGGGACTAGAAGAGCTCTAAAGCTTTTCAATTTTAAATTCTATCATTCTTTGAAAAAATGCAATGGGATTTCTATATCCAGCAGAAAAGAATATATATATTCAAGTGTTGTATACTTCATAAATCCCAAACAATAGAAAGTTGACAATAGCAACCAGCTGTTCCTTTCTTCTCTGCTGAGAAGAAAATGAGTAAAAAAAAAAAAAAAAAAAACCCAAAAACCTGCAGCATTAAAGATTTAAGCTAGAATTAAAGAAAACTTATTTGACATCAGAAGTTGTTCAAGAGTAGAATGCATTTAGACTGTTTCTTGGTGTTTGGATAAGTTCAAAAGCAGAAACAATTCAAAACCAAAACGAACAGAACATCTCTGGAGATTTCTTTGAAAATAAATCAAATCATCATTCTAGTCTGCTGGAAACTTAAACGCAACTGTAACCAAAGGAAAGAGAATACACAGGAATTAGATTACATTTAAGATTTTCCCAATACCCATTCTATGATGACACTCATTTCAAAACTATGCTACAATCTAATGTCCTTCTAAACAAAATTGGTCTTGGCATATAAAATATTACATTCAAGTTAAGTAACTTTTACAGAGTTTGAATTACTCCATTTTTATCTGTAATGCAGGTAGTTATTAACACTACTAGTATTTCAATAGATACTAGCAATAATATAATAGCTTTTATTCTATATGTCTTACTATATGCTAGGCTTTGTGCTAAGCATTTTAAATAGTAAGGTCTTTTCATTCAGCTGTAACAACACAACTCGGGTAATCTCATCCTCATTTACTGATGATAAATCAATATCTAAGAGGATACAAGTAACTTCCATATGATCACAGAACTCCTTTTATTACCCCAAGTTATTGGCTCAATTACTTTGCCTGCATAGGAACTTTCATTCAACTGGTTCAATTTCACCTGATATCAAGTACCCTAGGCCTAGTTTAATTCTCAGCTGTAGCTGTGGTGGACAGTTCCTACAGAGTCTTGGATGCTTGAACATTTCGCTTGAAGCTCAACCCTCCCAATTATCTTCAGTCTTCTGTCTCTGGGATTTTTTTTTTTCTGAAGCCAAAGAGTTTGTTCAGCCCTGGAAAGGCAGCCTGGAAGGTTGGGGGAAGTTAATGCTCATGGAAGCAATCTTCCTGTAAT